AACCCCACTCTGGCTGTCAGTAGAGCATTTGATTTTAAGTAGGGCTGATTCCCTTCTGAATGGTCCACGGAGGACGCCAATTCAGAATGACCTGCCTAGAGGCCGTATGAGTGACCCCTTAAATGGATCTGCTTCTTAGAACTGCCATTAGAGAATATTTGTCAAATGTATTTACCTTAATCTCAGCAGAGTTAAGGCTCAGTGGTTGGTTCTTGGTAATAGCTGGACAGTCGATGGCAAGCGCAATATTGAAAATCCTTTGCTGGTCCCCAACGCTTTCCTGATAAAGTACAACCTTCTTAGCAGGAAAATAACAAGGCGCTTACGGCCTGGTTTGTGTTTACATCTGCAGCCTCATCCCCTTCCTCTCCGTTCCCTTCCTGTGTTTCATCCATACCAGTCCACATGCTGTTCCTATAACTTGACATGCTCTTGCCCACCTCCTTTTGTGCCTTTACCCAGTTTTAAGCAGCACTTCCTCCAGGTAGCCTTCCCTGATTCCACCTGTAGCCTCCCATAACCTCTTTGCTTGCTTCCTGCATAGTGCTTATCAGCTGTTGTGCATGCCTGTCTTCCCCAGAGATTGAAAGCTCCTTGAGGGCAGGGACCATCCTTTTCACCTCTGTATTCCAGTGCCTTGTATGGTTCCTAGAATCTACTAACAATAGCTAACATTTCTAGATCTCTGACAGTGTGCTCTGCCTGAATAACCCATTTAATCCTCACTGCAGCTTATGAAGTCAGGGCTCTTAGTATCATCCCTGTTTCATAGATGAGAAGAATGAGGCACACAGCAATGAAATATCCTGTCCAAGGACACTTAGCTCACAAGTGGAAGAGGCAGGACTTGAACTCTGGCCATCTGACCCCAGAAGCCATATTTTAATCAACAAGCTACAGTGTCTTTCAGAATGTACATCATAAATAACTGCCTGATGAGTGAATGAAGGAGAGAGAGAAAGAGGGGGAAAGGGAGGGATAAAATAGAAACATGCCATTATCAAAGAGGAGAGAGCTTTGTCTTTTCATTTGTCATGACCAGTGGGTATGCATCCAGTTCCATATAATAGCAAATTAGTTATGTATATGTAAGTTTGTCAGAAATTCAAGCCGGATTCAGAAGAGGATGTGGAATGAGGGATATCATTGCTGATGTCAGATGGATGAAATCAGAGACTACCAGAAGGATATTTACCTGTGTTTTATTGACTATGCAAAGGCATTTAACTGTGTGGATCATAACAAATTAATGGTAACATTGCAAAGAATGGGAATTCCAGAACATTTAATTGTGCTCATCTGGAACCTGTACATAGACCAAGAGGCAGTCATTTGAACAGAACAAGGGAATACTGCATGGTTTAAAACCAGGAAGGGTGTGCGTCACGGTTGTATCCTTTCATCATACTTATTCAATTTGTGTGCTGTGCACATAATCCGAGAAGCTGGACTATATGAAGAATGCAACATCAGGATTGGAGGAAGACTCATTAACAACCTCCGATACGCAGAAGACGCAACCTTACTTGCGGAAAGCCAAGAGGACTTGAAGCACTTCCTGATGAAGATCAAAGACTACAGCCTTCACTGTGGATTATATCTCAACATAAAGAAAACAAAAATCCTCACAACTGAACCGGTACACAACATAATGATAACGGAGAAAGGATTGAAGTTGTCAAGAATTTCATTTTACTTGGATCGACAATCAACACCGACGGAAGCAGCAGTTGAGAAATCAAATGACGTGTTCGCATTGGGCGAATCTGCTGCAAAAGACCTCTTTAAAGTGTTAAAAAACAAAGGTGTCACTTTGAGGACTAAGGTGCTCTTGACCCAAGTAATGGTATTTTCAATCACCTCATATGCATGCGAAAGCTAGACAATGAGTAAGGAAGACTGAAGAATTGATGTCTTTAAATTCTGGTGTTGGCAAAGAATATTGAATATATCATGGACTGCCAGAAGAGTGAACACGTCTGTCTTGGAAGAAGCACAGCCATAATGCTCCTTAGAAGTAAGGATGGTGAGACTTTCGCCCATGTACTTTGGACATGTTATCAGGAGGGAGGATCCCTGGTGGCGAAGTGGTGGTTAAGCCTTTGGCTGCTAACTGAAAGGTTGGCAGTTCGAGTCCACCATCTGCTCCTTGAAAACCCTATAGGGCAGTTCTACTCTGTCTTACAAGGTTGCTATGAGTCCCAGTTGACTTGATGGCAGTGAGTTTGGTTTTTTGTTGTTGTTTCATCAGGAGGGACCAGTCCGTGGAGAAGGATATCTAGCTCGGTAAAGTAGAGGGTTAGTGAAAGAGAGGAAGACGCTCAGCAAGATGGATTGACACAGTGACTGCAATGATGGGCTCAAGCATAGCAACGATGGTGAGGATGGTGCAAGACTGGGCAGTGTTTTGTTCTGTTGTACATAGGGTGGCTATGAGTCGGAACTGACTCAATGGCACCTAACATCAACAACAAGGCCTTGAGGTAGGAAAGAACTAAAGAGGCCACTGTAGCTAGAGCTCAGTGGGTGAGTGGCACAGTGAGGATGAGGAGTGAGGCCTGGTCTATATGGGCCTTGCTAATAATGATTTTGGATTTTATCCTAAGGGGGCTGCTCTTTAACACTGTTCGATTTGGTCGTGATAAATTAGTTTGGTCAGGCATTTTTCACCCTGATTCAGGCTGCTCTCCCTGCAGATAGTACGTCAATCCAGAACCATTGCTATTTCAAACGGAGTGATGCTTAGGGTCCTTTTTCAAGTCCCTAGGTGGTACAAATGGCTGATGTGCTCGGCTGCTACCTGAAAGGTTGGAGGTTCAAGTTTGCCCATAGTTGCCTCGGAAGAAAGACCCGGTGATCTACTTTTGAAAAATCAGCCATTGAGAACCCTCTGGAGCACAGTTCTACTCTGACACACATGGGGTCACCATGAGTCAGAGTCCACTTGACAGCAGCTGTTGTTGTTTTTTAGGGTCCTTTTTATAAGGAGGGTCTACATTATCCTTTAGAAAAGAGAAGTAGACATGAAGTCACACCAGGTCAGTCTTCTCGGGAAGATGGGTCAGAAAATTAGAGGTATTTGTTTTTACTTCATGGACTGGGTGACTCAGACGCTAACTCCACATTGTTGACTAAAACGAAAGCAGCCTCCTCTTGCCTTTGTAAAATGTCTTTTCCCAGTGGTTGAATGAGGAGGTCTGAACTGGGAGCAGGGTTTTCGTTTTCTAAAAGCCCGATCTCTGGTAAACAGACGATGGGAAAGCCAGAAAGGAAGGTTAGGGGGTCAAGATCTCTGCACTGGTTTCCACATCCTGCCACATTCCAGCAGAATTTTCCCTGATAAAGTCATAGCACCTCCGAGCCGGAAGGGCCCTCAAGGATCGACTCACCCAGCTGTTATTTCATGGGGTCTGGGTGCTGATGGTGGGATTGGCCCCGCAGTGACGTCACCCCAGCCACCCCAGAAGGGTCAGTGTTTTCAGTTTGGTGAGGGCTGATTGGGAACTGTGGCTGCTGAAAACTGCATCCCATCACGAGGCTTAAGGCCTAAGTCTTGTGTCCTAATTTGTTCGCTCGAAAGGATCTCATACCTATGGTTCAGCCTTACAGAGACACCCAGGTGTTCACAGGTCTCTCCTCAATTGGCTCCCAGGAGTCAAGGGCCTCCTCCAAGGGGAGGCCAGAAATCTGTGGAACTGGGAGTGTGGGTGTGTTACTACCACCCTGATCCTGAGGGGTCTCTGGGATTCCCATCAAGAAAGGTCTTTTGATGTCAAAAGAAGTCCTGGACACTGAGATGATGATAGTAATATTTTTATTGGTTTTGTAGCTTATAGCAAGAAGTTACTTTGAACTTAGTACTACTTTAGAATGAGTATGTACTTCATTCATTGCAACGGCATCAGTATTCAACTGAAAAATAGTTGTATGTCTGTGTGTGAGATATGATATTTATTCAGCCCACATGCAATGCTCAGTAAATAGATGGATTTGAGGACCCATTGCCGTAATTGCCTGGCTTCCCCTAAGCGATTGGGGCCTGTAAATTTGGAACCACTGGTCTAGAGGCATCTATTGACAGAAAACCAGCACCTTTCAGGGATGACTCCAGCCATAGTAACTTCTTTGGTGGGAGGACATGAAGTGGAGTAAACCCACATGAGGCCCTGCTTTGAGAAGTAGAACAGGATATACCAAAGGCTTCTGCTGATCCTTGTTTTAGAAAGAATCCAGACTGCTGCTCTCTTACCACAGGGACAGAAAGCTGAGGCAAAGTGGCCTCTGGTTTACGCGTGTTGCCAACTCGCCAAAGGAACATTTGGCTCACTGAGGTTCACGTCATTGCCATTGTGTGATTTGCGTGATTTTTTAAATACTCTTTATTGTTTTTTCTAATCACAAAAGTAATTTGCTCTCATTGTGAAATAAAAAACAAAACACTACAAAAATGTATAACTGTGAACAATTTGGTGTGTAGGATTCCAAATTTTTCTGTGCATATACTAACTATATAAATAATCAAGATTTATACAGAAATAGGATCTTACTATACATGTTATTCTCTGATTTTTTTTTTTTTTTTGATGTAATTGTTGGCTTATTTTAAGGTGGCAGCAAGGTTCAGTTGAAGAGACCATGTGATTGGGTCTGGCTCAGGGTTTGAGTCCTGACTGTAAAATACTAGTTGGATGATCTTGGGCCAACTCACAGATCTTTCAAAGCGTGTTTCCTGGTGTCTGAGATGGTGACTGATGCTTTTCCTCCTTTCTGAAAGGTTGTTGTAAGAATCTCTTGAGATCATATGTAGAAAATGAATTTTCATAAACTGTAAAGTATTATGTAAATATAAAGGATCGTTATTATTTAGACTTATGATTTCAGCTCTCTTTCCTTTTTAAATGCTTTGATCCATATCAGTGAATACTTAACCTCATGGTAACTTACTCATTAGTTTCCTTGGAGACAAGTAGTAACCAGCCTGCTCTCCCCTTTTTTTCCAGGTCACTCCTGGAAGCAAGGCTGCTATCGCTGATTTATATATCGGAGACGTAATCACAGCCATTAATGGGGAAAATACTAGCAATATGACGCACTTGGAAGCTCAGAACAAAATCAAGGGTTGCACAGACAACATGACTCTCACAGTGGCCAGGTGAGGCCTGTGGAAATGTTCATTCATTTCTGATTGCCCAGAAACTGCTTGTGGGCATGGACTGCCCTACTTGTCTAAGAATCCCTCACACCCTCTAACTCAGTGCCATGTACACTGCAGGCATGCAAAAAGGCCTGGGGAATTGGAATTTCAGGTAGCTCTTTTTCCCCTCTAACTAAATAGTGCAAGCTTCTTTCTCTAAGATATCTGTGTTTTTTTTGGATTGAACATTGGTCAGCATTGCCATCGAGTCGACTCTGACTCATGGTAACTCCATGTGTGTCAGAGTAGAACTGTGCTCTGTAAGATTTTCAGTGGCTGATTTTTCAGAAGTAGATCACCAATCCTTTCTTCTGAGGCACTTCTGGGTAGACTTGAACCTCCAACCTTTCAGTTAGCAGCTAAGTATGTTAACCATTTTACCACCCAGGGACTCCTTGATCCAAGACGATGAACTAAAAATTTTGATCAAGTAAAACCAGCTAAGTATTGGTCAGACGTAATGAAATGAAAATTTCGTCCTGGAACTATAGAGAATCCACTTAGGCTGCTGCTCCTGCCACACTATGCTGAGCAGTGGATGCTGTGCCAAGAGGTTATGATAATAAAGGCTTCAATACAGTAAGTAAGTGCTAGTGTAAGTTTTAAGTATGCTGTAAGAAAGGAGAGCTAGAGTTGAATAGACTTAACAGGTTAAGTGAGGAGAGCACAGTGGGAGTTGTAATTGGGTAGGATTTCCATTCTTCTTTCATTTAGTCTTGGATGGGGTCCTGCAAGGGCAGGATTTCAGGAGTGATTTAGTTCAACCTTTAACAGCCTCCTATCACCTATTGGATCAAGTTCAGACTCTTTATTCTGATCTTGTGTTAACCTTCCCTTTAATGTCTCACTAACCTTAGCTTCTGCAGTTCTTTTTCATGAACTCTTTGCTCAGGTTCACACCTGTGAGCTGAGTATATTGCCTTCTTCGACCTGTGCCATAAGGAGCCCTGGTGGCGCAAATAGTAAAGAGCTCGGCTGCTAACTGAAAGGGTGGAGGTTTGAACCCACCTAGTGGCTCTGCAGGAGGAAGACCTGGCAATTTGTTCCCGTAAAGTTAGATTATAAATGCATAATATAGATGGTTAGATTATACATGATCTATGTCCTTCTTCCTTAAAAAATTGTTAGGTGCTGTTGAGTAAAGATTACAGCCTAGAGAACCCTATGGGGCAGCTCTACTCTGTCACGAGGTGGTTACTATGAGTCGAAATTGATGTGATAGCACCAAACAACAACCTACGATGCAGGATTACCACGAGGACCAAGTGCGCAGTTGTATGTCAGAGCAGTATTGCCCACTTCAGAACCCTACCCCATGGGACATGTAGTATTACTATAGTAAATGTGTGTATATACGTGTACTGTATATATTTAGGAGTCCTGGTGGCACAGTGGTTAAGAGCTTGGCTGCTAAACAGAAAGGTCAGCAGTTCAAATCCACCAGCCTCTCCTTGGAAACCCTATTAGGCAGTTCTACTCTGTCCTGTAGGGTTGCTATGAATCGGAACTGACTCAATGGCAACGGACTTGGTTTGTTGATACATATTTAAAAAAAATTGCCATTGAGTTGATTCAGAGTCATGGTAACCCCACGTGTATCACAGTAGAACTATGCTACATAGGGTTTTCAGTGGCTGATATTTTGGAAGTAGATCGTCGGGCCTTTTTTCCAGGGTGCCTCCGGGGGTAGACTTGAACCTCCAGCCTTTTAGTTAGCAGCCGAGCACGTTAATCGTTTGCACCACACAGGGACGCCTGCAGTAGTCCATGCATGAGGGGACATTTTTCCACTCTGTTCTTAGTCTGTGTTATTTATTTAGCATGAATGCAACAACAGCTGTTAATCTGTTGCAGATCTGAACATAAAATCTGGTCTCCTCTGGTGACCGAGGAAGGGAAGCGTCATCCATACAAGATGAATTTAGCTTCTGAACCTCAAGTGAGTACTTGTTCATCACGTCAGTGCCCTCACCACCCAACTTCTTTTCTGCTTTTGACAATGCTCTGCACATTCCCATTTTCCCTGCCCCGGAGGGAATGAGACAGCAGGGAGAACTGTGCCCTGTCACTGCTGGGATCTTGATCTTGTTCAGTTCTTCCCGTAAAGGAACTTTGGGAGGAAAAGGCTTAGAAAACCCCAGGGCAGTGACGCTGAGGCCTAAGCTGGAAGGCGGTGGTAGGAAGGCGATAAGGGAAGCGGGTGGAAGCCTTCCTGCACGGAATGGGGTTGGCAGGGTCATACTATAAGGAAGGCACTAACTCAGCTCCATGTGGATCTCTGATACAAGTGAGTCATGCCATGGACGAAAATAAGTTTGTGCCCCAAGGTCTGGAACCTACAAGAAATAAGGGGAAATTTAATAGTAAACACTGCTTCTTCTCCCTGTGTGCCCCTAGCTGGTTTCCATGAGCTCTAGGGTAGCAATGTCTATTTTTGTTACAAGTAAATGCATGGTTTCTAGTGAGACAGTATTTAGAAATTACTTAGTGCCACAGCAGATATGCAACCAGTCATTTCTAAATTTTAAATAAATAAATAAAAATGTAGAAATTACTAAAATAGAATAATTAATATTGAAAAACATGGTAGACAGTCAGTGCATAATTTTTGGAGCAAATCGTTTCCCAGGAGAATAGACTGTCCTAAGATCCCATATTTATAAATCTGTCAGATTATAGATGATCTGTGTCCTTCTTCCTTAAAAAATTGCATTTTCTAAATTACCTACAATGAATGAGTATTCCTTTTGAATTAAAAGAAAAAATGAATTTTACAAACTATTTAGTTTCTATGGTGAATCGAGATATAACCAAAAGATAACATATAGCCATCCTTTATACATAAAACAGAAACTTGTATGAAGTTGAACTCACCTGATATATTAACCTATTCTGTTGAGTCAATTACGATTCATAGGGACCATATAGGACAGGATAGAATGGCCCCATACAGTTTCCAAGGCTGTAATCTTTATGGGAGCCGACTGCCACATGTTTCTCCCACAGAGTGGCTGGTGGGTTTGAACCACCAACCTTTCTGTTAGCAGCTGAGAGCTTAACCACCGTGCCATCAGGGCTCCTTCTTGATGCATTAGTGTGTGTAAACTGAGTGGTTTTATGTGAGTCATATTTTCTCAAAAACACTTAAGGAAAATATGTACATATTTTCTTAAATGGCTTCAATTAAAATTTCAGAAATGTAATCACATACAAATTTTTTTCTGTTAATGTAATAAAAATCATAGCTAAGAATCCTAAGAGTCACTTTAAGAATCATTTTGCATCTACCATTTCAAAGCTGAGATGAACATATTGTTCTATATAACTTCTAAAGAAAGTTCATAAAATGGCACTCAGTCTATAAACTGGCAGTTTTGCAAACTAATTTAAAACAGGCCACAGTTAATTCCAATTTCCCTTGAAACTCCCAGCCAACTCATTAAATTTACTGTAAATGTTAAATTTTAGTGTGGTAAGCTTTCATATGTTTTACAACACATAAGGAAGGATTGTGTTTTAACTTGTATTTCGGAAATCCTAGTGTTTGCTTAAATCAGATGAGCATTTAAATTTTCATTGTATGTTTTCATTTGTATTATACTTGAATTTTCATCCTAAACATGTAATGCAGTTACTGTATTAATATTTTGAAGGTTAATCTCTTCAGAGTAAAAAAAAAGTCACAAATACATTGAAATCTACCTCGAGTATGTTTTTCTTTTGATTCCAGTAATTCTTTATTCTTATGAAAAACTACCCAACTCTGATTTTTCCAAAATCTTCCACTTCCAGCCGCTTAAAAAAGAAACTGATGAAGAATGAGTAAGAGCAGAGTTCATCTATAATAAAAAGACGTGTTAGTTCATGTAATGCCAGCCAACACCCCAGCTTATCTGAGGTCAGTGTAGTTACACACCTACTTTACATTTCCTTATTATTGCGTTTCCATGGAGACTGATAAATACAAAGCCCAAACAGTTACATCATCCCTTCGAATAGACAGGCCCTGAATCCGCCTGACTTCTGGAAAGACCAGTATTCACATGGGGGTAGAGATAATTCCTTTTATGTACAAAACAGATACATTTTCGAAAGATTCTCTACAAAGTGAGAATCAGAATCTCCAACGAACCCTACTTTTCCATTGACTTCCATTCTCATTGGAAATGAATTTCTGTGGCGGGAGAAGGGAATGGGTGCTGGTTGGATATCTGATGTGTGTTAGGCACTGTGCTTGGCACACCTGTGTGTCACAGCAAGTCCTTGTGAACAGGCTTTATTGTCTTCCTTTTAAAGATGAGAGAGATGGGTTCAGAGAGGGTAGATAACTTGCCTTAGGCCCAACAAGAAGTGGGGAGGGGGGAAGAATTGAGCCAAGACAGAAAAAGAAGAGCTCTTCTCTGGTGCTCAGTATCCCATGCTGCTTCTAGAAACTGCTGTGGAAAAGGAGGAGGAAAACATGGCGATCTCGGTGGCAGTAGCCATGCCTCTATCCCACAGTGCTGAGGTGTAGGCAGAAGTCCATGGCTGCCCATCTACAACTGGGCTGCAGCCTTCCTCATGACCATAGCCTTAATGACTGTGTATTACTCCTTTTGGTGGTTGTGCCAGAAGAGTTTACTTAACCATTCTTTGATTACTGCTGAAATTTTGTTTCTTTTTTCCTTAATTAGTTATACTTCCCCTTTTGTGAATTATCTGTGCAGACTTAGCTTTTGGGTCCTAAATGCCGACAAAGTCAGCTAAACATAATTGATACAGTAAAACCACTGACTCTGACTTGTTGAAGAGAAAGCCTGTCTGAATAGTGAAAAAGCAATCTTAATTGTAAAACTATTTTCATATTGTCTTTTATTTTAAATTAGGTATATAATGAATTAAGTTGTTAGTTTTTACACATAATGTTTTCTATTGTCAAAGTAAGACTTGAAGATTTAGCAAAAATGAAAAAAAAAAAAAAAAAAGCAACAGAGGACAGGAACTCTTTTTGGTGCAGTTGTTCTGGGCCTGGGTGTTTAAGAAAGAGACAAGCGTTCAGGAAGATTTTCTCAGGGACCCAGAAAAAGCATGCACGTTGAGCTTAGCAATGGATTTCCTAGGTGGTACAAATGGTTAACTTTATTGGCTGCTAACCAAAAGGTTGGAGGTTTGAGTCTACCCAGAAGCACCTTGGAAGAAAGGCCTGGCAGTCTACTTCCAAAAAATCAGCCATTGAAAATCCTTTGGAGCACAGTTCTCCTCTAACACACATGGGTCACTATGAGTCAGAATTGACTTGGTGGCAGCAAGTTACTGGTTGAGTTTAGCAGGCTGCACAGAGCGTGCTTTCTGTCTGGAAGCCATGAACTGATCCAGAAATACTCCTGTAGAAAGAACCTTCCTAATTCAGTCTCCAAAAGCCTGCGGTTTTTAAAAAAGAAAGATTAGTTTAAAAAGTTTTTTTTTTTTTGGTGTTTGTAAAGAAGCTGTGAGATGTTGTTGCTGTAGAAATTATTCATCAGACTCCTAACAGATCCAGGGTGGGGGTGGGGTGTGCCTTCTCAAATTACAGAAAAAGAGGAAAGAGAATACCAGGAACTCAAAGTCCTTTTATGCTGCTCTTCTGGGCACTGCCCCTGTAACAGGTATCTGCTAACCTTCTATCTGATTAGCCTTGTCTTTCTCCCATGACAAACAACGGGCGGGCCCTTAATTCCCTTTAACCCCTTCTGCCAGGGGATGGAGCCTGTCTCTACCTGTTTAGCAGCTGCTTCAGCCTGTGGTACCAGGACCCTTTTATCTTGCTTGTCTAACCCTGTTCAGTTCTGGGGAATTTATCTCCCCCTTTTATCATCTCCTGCTCTGAACTGACTGAAGGGACTTTGCATGTTCCTCTCCTCCTGGTACCATAATCCCTCTGGAATGTGCCCTGAAGGGAAGTTTCAACTCTGACTTAGATCCTGACAGCCCAAGACATCAAGGGGTATCCTGCTCAGGGGTGCCCAGCGGGAGATCAGGCTTTACTGGGCAGAGCTAGGGTGTGAACTTGCACGCTTGCCCATCTTAGGACACTTCACATCCCTGGCCTGTTAGTCTCAGTGGGTATTCAGAGCCCCTCAGTTAAAGTTTAGTGTAGAACCTGGGCCGTACGTAGCTCAGCTGGGATACCTTGCTCCCTGGCCCTCAGCCTGCACTGCCCATCAAGGGGGGCACATTGAAAGCCTTCCTTGACTTCTCCTCTGGTCCTTTCCTGCAGGAGGTCCTGCACATAGGAAGTGCCCACAACCGAAGCGCCATGCCCTTTACTGCCTCACCTGCCTCCAGCAGTACCCCCAGGGTCATCACCAACCAGTACAACAACCCAGCTGGCCTCTACTCTTCTGAAAACATCTCCAACTTCAACCACGCCTTGGAGTCAAAGACGGCAGCCAGCGGGGTGGAGACAAATGGCAGCCCGTAAGTCGGCCCAGGAGTACTCCTCCAGGCCAGCCCTGGGAGAGGTTTCTCACACCTGGACCAGGTTCGCCCAGGCTGGTGAAAGAAGGTAGAGCCGCTACCCCAGGGAGGAAAAGGTCTGCTTCAGTGAGTACCGTATTTTTACATAAATAACATGTGTTATATATTTTTTGCAAACGGTGCCATCCCCAATTCGTAAGCGTGCTACGCTAATTTTTTTTACAGCAACATGTTAAAAAAAAATAGCATAGTGCACTTACGAAAATACCAGGGGGATGTGATTGGCAAAAAAACCCCATGTAACGTGCATTATTTGTGTAAAAATACGATAGTGTCTACATTCGTTTCCCTCCTCTATAAAAATGATGCCCTGGTGGCTCAGTGGTTAAAGTGCTTGGCTGCTAACTGAAAGGTTGGTGGTTTGAACCCACCAGCTGCTCTGTGGGAGAAAGATGTGGCAGTCTGCTTTCAAAAAGATTACAGCCTTCAAAACTGTATGGGGCAGTTCTGCTGTATCCTCTAGGGCTGCTATGAGTGGAATCAACTGGCCAGTAGTGGGTTTGGTTTTTTTTTTTTTTTTTTGTATAAAAATGAAGTAACACTACCTAGCTTGTAGAGTCATGTAAAAATAAGAAAAAAACATGGACAATGTCCA